ATTATAGAGGTATTTTATTTCCGCTGGGAGCAAACCTTGGCGGAAGTTGAATTTGAGGGTGGTTTTGGGTAGGCCGAGGCTGAGTTTGTGACCCTATGCCACTGAAAGCCCTTCCGAGGTGGCAGCAGCTCTGCGGATTCAAGTTCCGCTCTGCCATTGGGTCAAAAATCAGTCGTAAATTCTGTATTTTATTTCCGCTGGGAGCGATCCTTGCCAGAAGTTGAATTTGAGCGTGGTTTTGGATGCCTGGCACCGAGGGGCACCCATTCGTCCACTAGAATCCACCGCCAAGCCATCCGTGCCACAATGGATTTAACTTCCGCTTTCTCCCTGCAAACAGGTGATTTGTTATATCCATGCACATTGACCTTCCGTCCGTACCGGAAGCTCCGGCCTTCGGAGCGTCCGGTCTTTCGGAAACTGTTGGTCCGCCTTCGGACCGACTCGGCTGATCGGGTTTTCACGCAATGAAGGATTACTGAGCGTTTCCCGTTTATCCGTTATCTATCTCATCCATCTGTCTTCTCAGTCTCCGTATGTACTTCGCTTTGTTATATTCAAGTCCCGCTTTTGGTAGTCGCTTTGTCTTACCATATTAGGATATTGATCTTCAACTACTATATAAACCTTATGTACTATGCCTGTATTCTTCAGTTTGATTATTAACGTGCTTTGCTCTTCGCTCTGCTCTGAGTCGTTCCGGCTTCACCGGAACTTCCGACTTCCTACTTCGTCCCCTTCAGCACGGGTAGTACGCACACCCTTATCTTCCTGTGGTGCTTGCGCTATATCTACTGACTTCCGTCCTTCCGTCCTTCCGGTCTTCTCGGAACTTCAGATCACTTCCCCACGTCGGCTCGGTATATAACATGATTATAGAGGTATTTTATTTCCGCTGGGAGCAAATCTTGGCGGAAGTTGAATTTGAGGGTGGTTTTGGGTAGGCCGAGGCTGAGTTTGTGACCGTATGCCACTGAAAGCCCTTCCGAGGTGGCAGCAGCTCTGCGGATTCAAGTTCCGCTCTGCCATTGGGTCAAAAATCAGTCATAAATTCTGTATTTTATTTCCGCTGGGAGCGATCCTTGCCAGAAGTTGAATTTGAGTGTGTTTTTGGATGCCCGGCACCCAGGGGCACCCATTTGTTGCCTTGAATCCACTGCCAAGCCATCGGTGCCACAATGGATTTAACTTCTGCTTTCTCCCTGAAAACAGCCAATTATAGAGGTATTTTATTTCCGCTGGGGGCAAACCTTGGCGGAAGTTGAATTTGAGTGTTGATCCAACTTCCTCCTAGCTTTGCCCTCAGCAGAAATAAAATACCGCTATAATGGTCAGTTGGGAGCAGAAAACCGGAAGTTGAATCTGTGGGGGCAGCGGTAACATTGTGGTGGATTTGTGTGGGTCTGTGGATGCCCCCGAGTGCCAGGCACCCACAACTACTGTCAAATGCCATCCTTGGATGATTACACATCAAACATTTTGAATTTTTCACCTCCAAGGTTTTGAATCTTTCAGTTCAAATCTTTCAAATTTATCACCTGAAAAGTTTTGAATTTTTCACTTCAGGTTTTTTAGATTTATCACCTGAAAAGTTTCAAACTTATCACCTGAAAGGTTTTGAATTTTTCACCCTAAACATTTTAAATTTTTCAGCTTCAAGGTTTTGAATTTATAACCTGAAAGGTTTTGAATTTTTCACTCCCAAGGTTTCCAAGTTATCAACGGAAACCTTTCACATTTTTCACCTCAAAGATTTCGAATTTTTCATCATGAAGGTTTCAAGTTTCTCAGTTCAATCCTTAGTGAAAAACCTCATGAAAAGGGTCTAAGATTCTCCCCTTGATATTTGTGTGAAATGTAAACATTCCTGATGAAATCATATTAAAAAGAACCACCATCTTTGTTTTGAGTTTTTCACTTCAATTCTAACTGTAAAAAAAAGTAAGAAAATTTCAAATTTTTCACCTCCTTTCAAGGCAAGATATTTGTGTGAAATCCAAAAGATAACTGGTAAGAATGTATCAAAAGAAAGTATAAGTTTTGTTTCAAATTTCTCACTCCGTTTCTGACTGATTTTTTTCAAAAAGAAACTATCAACTTTGTTTCAGTTTTTTCACTTTGATTCTAACTGAGAAAAATTGAAGAAATATTTGTGATTTCTCGTCTCCTTTTAGAACAAGAAATTGCTGACAAAAATAATAAGAAAGTTTTGAATTTCTCACCTGCTTTTTGGGGCAGAAAATTTCTGTAAAATCCGAAACATTGCTGTTGAAAATGTTTTTAAGAAAGACTTCATCTTTATTTCAAGTTTTTCACTTTGTTTCTGACTGCCAAAAGTTTAAAAGAAACTATAACTTTCTTTTCAATTTTTTCACCCTCAATCTTGCTGAAAAAAGTTGTAAGAAAATTTTGGATTTTTCACCTACTATTAGGGCAGGAAATATGGTGCGAAATTTGAAATATTATAAGTGAAAATTCTCTAAAAGATAGTATCAACTATGTTTCGAGTTTTTCAGCAACTTTCCAACTTCGAAAAGTTGTAAGAAATCCTTGAGTTTTTCACTGATTTTCTGAGTAAAAAATTCCTGTGAAATTCAAAATAAAAATTTCGGATTTTCTCACTTAGAAATCCGAATTGTTCATCCAGTGTTTCAATGTGAAAAAAGTGGTGAAAAACTTATAACTTTTTCACTTATGTTTCAGGTGAAAAATTGGTGAAAAATGTGATAGAAACATAGGTGAAAAATGTTTCAAGTTTTTCACTTACGTTTCCAGGTGAAAACGTAGGTGAAAAACTCGTAAAACTTGTGGTGAAAAAAACATAAAGTTTGTTTCGAGTTTTTCACCTTGTTTCAGAGTCGAAAAAGTGGTGAAAAATGTTTCAAGTTTTTCACTTACGTTTTCAGGTGAAAACTTAGGTGAAAAACTTGAAACATTCTTGGTGAAAAAAAACATAAAGTTTGTTTCAAATTTTTCACCTTGTTTCAAAGTGAAAAAAGTGGTGAAAAACTTATAAGTTTTTCACTTATGTTTCAAGTGAAAAATTGGTGAAAAACCCAAAATAATTTTCACCAATTTTTTCACTGAAAAACTTGAAATGTTCAACCAGTGTGTAACCATAAGTACGTAATTTGAATCTCCATTGATGTCCATCTATAATAATTCTAGGAAAGTATTTAATCCCTATTAATGATCATAAATGCATTGCATTTAATAGTTATAGACTGCAGGAGCTTTTTTTGGGGAGTCATGCAGATATTTCAAGATCCAGAGATGACTCTAGTTGATTATGCTCCTCTTGTCTGGCCCTGGGGACATACCCTTTGCTCTTGAATGATTTACACTTTCCCCTCAGTTCAACATGGATGAAACTCTAGATGCTGCATATGGAGCTTGGGTAGTGTTGCAGCATTGCTGATGGTGAATATTCCTCAGTTTGGGATTCGTTGGAAATCTGAGTCATTGGTGGAAGCCTGGTCACTTTTTTTTTTTGATGTCTGAACCTGGATGCCAAACTCCAGCTAACCAGAATTTTTCACTCCTTTGTTTTCTCAGAGCAGACACAGTTATCAACTCAGGAGTTCTGAGCTGGATGCACCTTATAAGTTGTTCTGTTTTCTCAGTCCGAGTCCCATATCAGGACCAGAGCTATGGGAGAGCTTCGAGAGGAATGGCTTGCAACAGTTAATTCTGTGCCTTGAAAAAATTGGAGAAGCTTGGTGGAACTGTAACACATAATCCTGAAGGTCCTGAGAGGAAGAAAAAAACCTGACAAGAAGCTGGTCTGGGCTAGACTCTAGTCTCTCTAAGATAGAGGTGCAGTATCTCATTTTTTCAGTGCCTTGGATTTACTTACTTAGTTCATTTCAAGGCAAGATCAGGTTGATACAACCAGGGTATCCAGGCACCGCCCGGTAGGGCCATAACCTTGGAATAATTATATTGGTATTGAGTTAAGGACAAGTGACTGGGAACAAGTGACGAGGACACTATATCACCACTCAGCTCCTTGTATGGCTGTTTGGTGCACTTGGTCCCCCTCCCTTCTTGCGAGCTCAGCTCGGCGAGCTTGCGAGCCGGGCTGAGTGGAAGGCAAGCTAGCGGTCAGACGGACCGGCGGCACATGTCGTCAGGTAGATTAGATTGTTGTACCATCTAATCTACATGTCCACATTGGTCTTTGCTCCTGCTACGACCATCTCGGCCTCGCAAGGCTCTTCATCATTGTTCTCGTCCTCGTTCGGGCGTTTTTTTCGCGCCCACCCACCCATTTCCCTGTTCTTTTCTCGCTTACGCTCGGGTTGCTTTGGGTCTCGCTCTCGTCGGACCCTCTGTGGCCTTTGCGTACGGGTTTGGCCGTGCCCGCGTCCCGTTTTTCCCCGACCCGGACTTCTCCGCGCCTAGCCCGCGGTGCCCCGAAGCCCAGTCGGCCGGGACGGCCAGACCCCCCGCACACACACCAACATCGTCGTCTTCCTTCACGTTTTGTTGCATAGCACGACCGGTGCTAGAGCAACATCCTTTCGTATAGCCCGTGCGTACCACGGCCGGCGCGTTCCGCCGTTTCTCTTCCCTCGCTCCTCCACGTGCAGCAGGGAAGACACCGCCTAGCTTGCCAACATTTCCTTCATGTTTTTTTTGAGCGTGGGTTCAATTCTTCTTGCTGGCATTTTCTAAATTATTACTCAAATAGGCACCTCCAGGACATCAAAACACAACCTAGGAATTCCAGTGGAGCGACTGGTATTTTCCTCTGCCTTGTTGGTAAGTGGAATTCCACAGATTTGACCAGTTTTCTCCACCCTTTGGCCTTCCACTGGCTGACACCGGTCAAACGGTTGGCAGTGTAGAGGTCTGAACTTTCCTCCCACTCCCGGAGCCCGGGAGCTGTGGAACAGATAAGATAAGAGCACCGGTAAGGTGGTGATCTGCAGCGGTGAAGCAGGTATGAGTCGCGCAGCGGCCCCCCCCTAGTTTTTGTAGGGGGGGGAGGAAAAAAACGACACTGGCATGACTCGAACATGCGCCCACAAAGTGGAACAGATAAGAGGCTCTTACGTCATTCGAATCTGTCGCGTTAACCACTCCGCCACAGTGCCATGACGATTCCCAGAGTAGGCCCGGTGTGGATCGGCCTTGCCAGAGGCGATTCTGCCAGTGAATCCCACTCGCAGTATTCGGAAGACAGGGCGCGGAACCAAGGGAAATGTGATGCCAGGACAGTAATCATTCAGCAAAAATCTAGACTGAAAAAATGGAGATGCAAAGACTAGACCTCGGGCCAGAATTGTGACCGAGAATGGGCGAGTCGAGTCACGCGGAGGGGCGGAGATTTGAGTGATGGCGGGTGCTGGGGTGTAAAATAAATAATATATATATTTTGACCTCAACGTCCATGTCGTCGCCGGTGTCGTCTCTGACGGCGTCGCGGTCGCCATCGCCCGAGCCGCCCGTGCAGCCGGACCACTTCTACGGCGCAGACCCACACAATCTGCCGCCTTCGCCCGACTCGGAGGGCAAGACATACCTCTCTCCATCCGACGACCCCCTAGCGCATCGCGGCATCCCCGTCTTCAAGCCCTCCATGGCCGAATTCGCCGACTTTGAGGGATACATGAACCGGGTGGAATGCTGGGGCCGCCGGTCGGGCATCGTCAAGGTGGTGCCACCAGCCGAGTGGACGGCGTCGCTGCCCGACGTCAAGCCGCAGCTGGCGGGGGTCAAGATCAAGAGCCCCATCGAGCAGTTCATGCGTGGTCGCGCAGGGCTGTTCCGCCAGGAGAACATGGAGAAGCGCAAGCTCATGAGTGTCCGCGAGTGGGCCGAGCTCTGCGCAAAGGACGAGTTCCGCGCACCCGGCGTCGACCAGGTCGGCGTCCACAACAACCCCAGCGCCCAGCCTGCACTTCGCAGCCGCAGGAAGAAGCCAAAGACGGCGACCGAGCTCAAAGACGAGTCGGTCAAAGCGGAGGCTACCGCTACCGACGGGATGGCATCGCCGCCCAACAGCGCCTCGCCCGACCCGGAGGACTCCAAGCCAGAGGAGAGCAGCAAGCCCCGCAACCGCCGCGTCGAGCGCGCAGACAAGGACGCGTCCTTTCTCGACTCCTATAACCCTCACACAAACTGGCTTCCCCCGGGTACCACCGCCTCGGACTACACCCCCGAATTCTGCTCCAAGCTCGAGCGCGCATACTGGCGCAATTGCGGCCTCGGAAAGCCCCCGTGGTACGGTGCAGATACAATGGGTGCGTGTGCATCCTCTTAATTAGCACTGCCATCCTAACTAACAACCACCCCAAGGCTCCCTCTTCACCGACTCCACCACCGCGTGGAACGTCGCGCACCTCCGCTCCACGCTCTCCCGCCTGCTCCCCGCCTCCTCGCAGGGCCTGCCCGGCGTCAATACCCCCTACCTCTACTTCGGCACGATTCCCTCTCCCTTTGCCTAGCTATAACAACTGATTTATTCTTCAGGCATGTGGCGCGCGACCTTCGCCTGGCACGTCGAGGACATGGATCTATTCTCCATCAATTACATCCACTTTGGCGCGCCCAAGTTCTGGTACGCCGTACCCCAGGGCCGCGCGGGCGCGTTGGAGGACACGATGCGCGGCTACTTCCCGAAGGACACTTCGACGTGCCCCCAATTTCTGCGGCACAAGTCCTTCCTTGCGTCCCCGACGCTGCTGGCGCAGTCCGCCGTCCGGCCGAACCACCTGGTGCAGCACGCGGGCGAGGTGAGTAGCTTGTCTTGCTTGTTACCGGGCCTCTTTCCTCCTCCCCACTCTAACGCTCCCTCTCCTCTTAGTTCGTCATCACCTACCCGCGAGGTTACCACGCAGGCTTCAACCTTGGGCTCAACTGCGCCGAGAGCGTCAATTTCGCGCTCGACAGCTGGCTCGACGAGGGCCGCAAGGCCGCTGTGTGCAAATGTGTTGAAGATAGGTGTGTATTCTTTCCACTGTGACTTCACCCTTTTCTTCCTTTCTCCTCACTTCATATCATGCAATCGTTAACTAACGTTCGCACCACCACAGCGTCCGCATCGACGTCGACCAGCTACTCGAGGACCGGCGTATCGATGCGCTCGAGGAGACCGACCCCGCCGCTGCTGCCCGCGCGCGCGCCATTCGCGACGGGCTTGACTTCGAAGAGACTATGCCTGAAGAAGTGACGGCCAGTACTCAGAAATTCGCACCCCAGGCCCTCCCGACCGTCGTTCTCCCCCCAGCAAAGCCGCGCAGCCCGCGCAAGCGCAAGCCCACGACACACTTTGATCCTGCCGGCGCCCCCGCCCCCAAGCGCCCGCGCACCATCTCTACGTCGACCTCCGCGTCTGCGTCTTCACACCTCACCTTCTCCGTCTCCTCATCCACGCACGCCCACGCATCCACATCCCACGGTCACCCGCCGCACCCCGCTCCCACGCAACAAAAACTCACCCTCAAGCTCGGGCCACGCCCACCCGCGGTTGTGCCCGACGACGAGACATTCCAATGTTGTCTCTGCGTCGACCAGTGCGCGGACGGCCTCGTTCGCGTGCACGACCTCCCCCCAGCTTGGCGCGAAATCGCCCCCGCCTCCCGCGTGCACTTCCCCGCCTCTCTCGGCGGGCAGGGCGTTTGGATGGCGCACGAGGCCTGCGCTCGTGTCCTCCCCGAGACGTGGGTCGACTCCCTCCCCGACGGCGAGCGCGTGGTCTTCGGCGTTGATGGCATCCCCCGCGCGCGCTGGGCGCTCAAGTGCTCTGCGCCGGCGTGTACACGCGCAAGGGCGAAGGCGCATGGCGCGCTGATTCAGTGCGCGAAGGGCAAGTGCCCGAAAGCCTTCCATATTGGGTGCGCACGGGCCGGGGAGGCAGCAGGTACCGGCATCGCGTACTGCGTCGTGCGCGAGGTCGAGAAAGAGGTTGTGCTGCTCGAGCCGGTGGACCCTGCGAGTGTTGATCCGTCGGGGGCGGCACCCGAGCCCAATTTGCGGGTGCTCAAGGTGATCAAGAAGGAGGAGGTTGAGGCGCTCTGTCCTCAGCATAATCCTGTGCGTCGATTTTTCTGTTTCTATCTCCCGCATTTTTCTAATACCTACCCACAGGTGATCGTCGCCTCGCGGCGCGCATCCAAAGCCGAGGGCCAGCGCGCAGACGTGCTCGCGTTGCCGCCGCTCTCGCGCGTCAAAATTCGTGTGAGCTCGGGCGTCTTCGAGGTGACGCTCATCCGCGTGCTCGAGGACCGGCGCAGCGTTGAGGTTCTTTGGGATCTCGGTGAAGTACGCGAGTTCAAATGGAACGCGATCATCCTCGGCGCGACGAGCCTTCCGACGATACAGTTCCCTGGTGCGTGTCGCGTTCATCTATTTCCTACCATTAAATCCTAACACACCCGCAGATGCAACATCCGCGCCCGCACCAGCGCCCAACGCTGTGGCCGGCCCCAGCTCGCGCCAACAACCCGCACTGTACTCTGCACCCTATGCACAGTACCCGAGCGCGCGCCCGCAGATTCCTGCCCCACGCTATCCCGGCGGCGGCACCGTCATGAACTCCCCGGGCTCTAGCACCCAGCATCAGCAGCAGCAGCAGCCGACCAGCCACAACCCGTACAGCGCCTACAACTACGAGTTATGGCAGCAGTACGCCGGCGGCGGGTACACTGCTGCTGCTGCGAACCCATATTCCGCGGCCGCGAGCAATGCCGGCGCAAGTAGCCCGCATAGCAACTCGCATACCATCGCCGACGACTCGCGCATTGCCGGTAGCCCTCCTGCTCCCGCAAACGCTGCCAGCAGCAATAGCCCCCCGATCCCGCGCGCCATTGCACCGGCACAGCACGTCCCGGGGTCGCACTATGTGCCGCAGTACTACCACGGGCCGCAGCCGTGGTCGTCGCAGTATTACCGGCAGGAGGCGTACTATCCTCAGACGGGTGGTGCACCTCCGCAGACGAATGGGCATCAGCAGAGTCAAGCTCCGCATGGACAACCTCCACATGGACAGCAGCAGCCCGCACAGACATTGCCGATATCTCGCCCGCAATCCGTCGCCACGGCCTTCTCGATGTCACATTCTGCGCATACTCCCACCGCTACTCATACGCCCATTCCCGCTCCTCCATCGGCCTCTCATTCCCCGGCCCTGGCCGTTCCTGTTGCCCCCGACCCGACGCCGATGCACGTCCACGTCATTCAGCCCGGCCTAGCTTGACGGAGGACATAGACCAGAGAGCATGCGTGGGGTACGGTGTGGTTGTCGGCAGGACAACTACACGAACGAAACCATATACCGCCCGTCCGTAGAGCTCCCGCACGCACCTGCTGCATCGACTCAACGTGTGCGTTTCTTGATCAGTTTTTCCACTTACTGTACATCCCGCTCTGTCCGTCTTGAAATGCACTTCATCCCGTAAATACTGCATCCTGGATCCACGACAAGACCTGCACCTACTCATCGATCGTCGCCCGTACTGCACCTGCTCGTATCCTTATCCCACCACTGCCTGCACCTATTGCCCGCTACACCTCCCTACTTCCTTGCATCGTACATACCATACCGCTCACGCCTTTCCGATTCGCTTATGTTTATACTCGTCACCGTTCCCGCTATGATATTCCCCTGTAGTTTTAGAAAGAAAGAAAGACGAACGACAATCCAAGTAAATTGTGTTTCCCGAATACATACTCCTTGGCGCATTGTCCTGAATGCTCTAAGCGCACGTTTCTTTTCTTGTCGAACTGGCACGGACGTCGTCTTCACATCGACACCAATGACACACCATCTCTTGTGATGACTCATCCTTTCCTTTCCCGGGCGAAGACCTCCAAGACTTCAAGTTCGGCTTCTCGTAAGCAGACTCGGAAGTATAGGTCAAGATGCAGGAAATGTCAGTCAAGAAAGCTAGAGTAACATATTCAAAAGTGCTCATTCATAAAATGAAGTAGCACATAACAGATTTGGAACAAAGGAAAGAAACTTCAGCAGCCGTTTCCAAGTTTCCAACGATTCAAAAAGTCACGGCGAAAATTGTCCGACACTTCCCTACTGACTCAATTCGCCACAACGACCCCGTCCAGCCCGTCCGCCCCCCCGGCGTCGTCTCCCGGC